CTATTTTTCCCCCACACCCCCCTGTTTTTTCCCCAATGGACCACAAAGAATCACCCTACCCATTTATAACCCATCCTCTCCCCTTCTCCTCTCCCAGGTGGGACAGTGCGTCGTGGTCTTCAGCCAAGCTCCCAGTGGAAGAGCCCCTCTGAGTCCCAGTCTGAACTCCCGTCCCTCTCCCATCAGCGCCACGCCGCCCGCCCTGGTCCCCGAGACACGGGAATACCGCTCGCAGTCTCCCGTCAGGAACACGGACGAAGTTCCTTGTGTCAACGGTCGCTGGGGCACCTTGAGACCCAGAGCTCAGAGACAAACCCCCTCAGGATCCAGGGAAGGAAGCCTTTCTCCAGCCAGAGGGGATAGTTCTCCTGTTCTCAACGGTGGGAGTTTATCACCTGGAGCCACGGCGGCCGGCGGTGCCTCCTTGGACAGCCCCGTGCAGGTGGTGTCACCTTCTGCAGCTGAAGGATACGACCTGAAAGTGGGGCTCACCCTGGCACCGCGACGGGGATCGTTACCAGAGCAAAAAGATCTGCGTTTGGGATCCGTCGACTTGAGTTGGGAACAGAAACCGACTTCCATCATCTGCCAGATGGATGGTGTGGAGGGCAGGACAGTCAACACGAGCGTGAGGAACCCCCCTGAGCAAACCAACGGCGTCCACACGCCGCCCCACCTCGCCAGCTCCCTCCCAGGGGCCGTGTCCCCCGGAGCGCTCCGAAGGAGCTTGGAAGCTGTCAAAGCTCTTTCTTCCAAAGGCTCCTCAGCTTCTGCAGCGTTGAGTCCTCCCCTGGCTTCTTCCCCAGGCTCTCCAGGTGCTGAGATGGGCTCGGCAGCACGTCCGGGCTCTACCCAAGGTGATGGCCATTCCTTACCTCCCATCGCCCGTCGGCTGGGCCACCACCCACCTCAATCCCTCAACGTGGGGAAGCCTTTATACCAGAGCATGAACTGCAAACCCATGCAGATGTACGTGTTGGACATTAAAGACACCAAGGAAAAAGGACGAGTCAAATGGAAAATATTCAACAGCAATTCAGTGGTGGGACCACCCGAAACCAGTTTACACACGGTGGTGCAAGGCAGAGGGGAATTAATCATATTCGGTGGCCTGATGGACAAGAAACAAAACGTCAAATATTATCCCAAAACAAATGCCTTGTACTTTGTGCGAGCAAAAAGATAATGCGACCCCTCCACCCCCCCCCAAAAAAAACCCTTTTTTTTTATCACCATCACCTTCTCCCTTGTCCCCTTCCCCACTGCTCATCCCTTCCCTTTCCGAGTCCTTATTCTACCCCGCAGGCATTCAAACTGTGAATTAAGAGAGCAAGAAACCAATAAAAATCCGAGCAAAACCCTCCAGCGCTGCCCCACCGCTTCCCA